ATACATTCCACTTACCCACATTCAATTTTAAGCCTGACACCCAGAAATGGATAACACATCTATGTTAGACACACAGATTTTTACATATCACAACCACATATGTGGGCTCCGGAAAGGAGTGTCACTGAAAACCTCATCTTTTATTTCTGCATTTGTCAGCAGGCAGGACCACAAACAGGTGTTTCTCAAATGATACGATCGATTCATAAGCTGTGAACAAGCATTGTTCCTACCTCTTGCAAGCTTTTAAAACCAGCCAGAGCCTTATAGATGACCTACTGCAAATCTCAGACTTTAAAAGGAGGCTGAAGGCCTAAGAGAATATGTTAGTTAGCTTAGTGGTGCTGGAGATCCCGAAATATGTTATTAAATATTTATTAAGAATTACTGTTACGAGGGGCGCCTGGGTGGCTCAGTGGGTTAAGCGGCTGCCTTTGGCTCAGGTCATGATCCCAGCATCCTGGGATCGAGTCCCACATCGGGCTCCCTGCTCCACAGGGAGCCTGCTTCCCCCTCTGCTTCTGCCTGCCACTCTGCCTGCCTCTGCTCTATCACTCTGACAAATAAATAAATAAAATCTTTAAAAAAAAATACTGTTACGAAGGTAGATGAAAGCGATGTTAACCTCCTTGTATACAAATGTGTGTGCTTGTAAAGCACAACAATAAATAAATTTCTATCTTGCGACCAATTCTCTACAATCTCTTTCAGAGGACAGAAACAGAATGAACGCTTCCGAACTCATTCTATGAGACCAAAATTACCTTAATGCTAAAACCAGACAAAGACAGGAAAACCCATACCTCTCATGAGCGTAGATGTAAATATCCTCAACAGAATATTTGCAACCCAAATACAGAAGAGCTTAAAAAGAATTACATACAATAGTTAAGAGGGACCGAACCCACGTGTGTGGAGCTGATTCAGCCCGCGAATTAATACAATCCATCGTAGACTGAAACAGGCTAAACACCAGACTAAGAGAGAAAAATCACATGATAATATCAGTAGACACAGGAATAAGGTATTTGACAAAATGTAGCACCCGCTCATGATTTAAAAAAAAAAAAAAAAAAAACTGTCAGAAAACTAGGAAAGAAACTTGAAGCTTTCCCACTAAGATTAGTTCCAAGGCACGTGGGTCCTTACTCAGTCACTCCTTTTCAACATCATACCGGATGTCCTTACTAATGCGAACAAGCAAGAAAAAGAAATAAAGGGACGGGATAGGAAAGGAAGACATGAAACTGTGCGTGTTCAGAGATGACGTAATAATCTACGCAGAAAACCTGAAAGAGTCCACAGAGTAATTCCTGAAATAATAAGTGATTATTGCAAGGTTGCAAGATACCAGGTTAATATGCAAAAGTCAATCTCTTTCCCCTATGCCAGCGACCAACAAGTGGAATTGAAATTAATCCACTGGTTTCAATCTATTATGTAGTTAATGATGCCTAATTTGACTAATGATGTGTGATTAGGGTACTACAAAAATAAATAAAAGAAACATAAAATATAAATAGATACCCCCAATTTGCATTTTTAATTCTGTAATTAAATAACGATTAATCTCCAGAAAGATGCGGTATTTCAAAATACAAACCAAAGAAATATGTTGAAACAAACATTCACAGGTCAGAAAACCTTGTATTACCAAAGGACACACTGATGTATAAGTGAATGAGAAAGTAACTGCAGAGGCGATCTTTTTTTTTTTTTTTCCAGATTCTTCCCTAAAGCTTTCATACTCAGAAAGTTTTGCATTTTTCTCTCACAACAGAAAATGTAAATAAGCCAACAAAAAAAAGAAAAAAGAAAACGCGAATAAGAGAGAAATGTTCAAACTTGCCAATAAAAATATTAGTGACAAAATTAATGTCCTTTAGCAAATAAGCAAAAACTTAAACTATGAATACTGGAAAACATGCGGCAGGGAGCCTTCTCAAGACAGACAGTCATGGTCTAAAATGGAAATAAACTCGGCGATATGCATCAAGAACATTAAACATGTCCATTGACATTCACCTTCTGTTACCATTTCCATGACACTTAGTCTTAGATTCAAAACAAGCACTCGATGATTTTTGGAAAGGGATATAGATGTAAGGGTTACTTAATTTAGTATTTTTAATTAGAAATAATTCAAATCACCAGCAATAGGGAAATGATTAGAATATTCTCAAACGATGAAATCTTAGGTAAATATTAAACAAACAAACAAACAAAAAACTTGTTTTCATAGGATATTTCATAGCAAGGAAAATTTCTCATGATGCAATGCTAAGTGGAAAAAGCCAGATACAAAGCTCTATGTACAATATGATTACATTTTGCACAGTCCCCTCCCATGTATACACACAAATATTTAGGCGTACTCAAGATGCTAGAAAGAATTAAGCCAAAATCTTACTAACCACGAGGGTAAAAACATTCTAACATTTTTTAGTTTTTTTGGTGAGTGAATCACTTCTAACTTAGAAAAGAAAGGATTTGTAGGAAGAAAAAAAGAAAGAAAGAAACCACAACAATCAGCAAAGTACAGCATAAAATATCGGCGTGTCCTCATGCAGGCTTTTATGACATCCCTATGCACGAATCCTTCACTAGAAGAAAAGAGTATTTTCTTTGTTTTACATACAGGTTATTCCTCTGCTGCCGTATGTAAGAAGGGACCTCATTCAGTCAAGTGGTTGGTTCTACACACACACTTAAATCTAATTGAATATAGTAGGTTCTATTTTTAAAATCCCCTCAAAATAATAATAGGGAAAATTTTATTGCAACAGACAATATTATTTTTCCAGCAATTATCTGCCCGTGGACCTGAGAAGCGGCTTGTTTTTCTGGGTGGATGTTGTGAGTTACTAACACGAAGGCGAGAGGTTGGCAGCAGGAAGCGTGGAGGGCAATGCTCAGAGTGCGATAGCACGGTCAAGACTCCGTATCTTAATGCCATCTTTACCAACTCTAATGGAAGGCTTTTAAATATGGGCTCACAGGCTGCATTTCTGACTCTGAGAAAAACTCATTTCTCCCAGGAAAACCCGAGACGTGAGTCTCATTTCTCAGTGCTGGTGGACAGTCAAGCTCTTATTCTCAGGACTTCCCAGCTCCTTTCCCGAGATACCAGAAGAATCCGCGGCTCTTGCGTGCTGAAATCATTAGCCATTTGCAATTGTTCACCTTACCAAGGGTGTTCGAAAGCTACGTTTTAGGCAATACAGTGGCATTCCCTATCACACCAGGAACTAAAAATGCAGTGGCCAAAAAAAGTCCCATTTTTATCCCTTCTTGGAAGCCAGGTTTGTCTAACAGATGCTATTAAGGAATTCAGGCTTCTATTAGTCAACATTTTTATTTAAATTTAGGAAATTTAAATAGGAAATTTCCTAAATTTAAATAGGAAATTTAAATTTAGGAAAGGACAGAAGTGTTATGTTAGGAGTATTAATACCCCCAACCATGAAATCACAGAGCTTAAGGGAACTTTATTATTTTTTTTAAAGATTTTATTTATTGGACAGAGAGAGATCACAAGTAGGCAGAGAGGCAGGCAGAGAGAGAGAGGAGGAAGCAGGCTCCCCACCAAGGAAAGAGCCCGACGTGGGGCTTGATCCCAGGACCCTGGGATCATGACCTGAGCTGAAGGCAGAGGCTTTAACACTCTGAGCCACCTAGGCGCCCCTTAAGGGAACTTTAAAAGGCCACCTAACACACTCTCAAGACCAAGGAGAGACAACGCTAAAACGCTCAGGGTATTTAGGTCTTTGCTTAAAAGTCTGGAACAAGCAGGTTTCTTTGACTTTATTCATTAATTCATTCTGGGATTTCATTAGAAGTTCTTCTTGCTATCAGGGCTAGGCCCCCTCTATTGCAATTTGAGCTTTTGGCCAACCTCAGAGAATATGGAATAAACCATTTTCTTTTACTCTGTTCATCTGAATGAAGTAAGGAGTTCTACTCTCACTCATCAACCCTGAAGATTCACTGGGCCCAGGTTTCCACACTTGGTGTTTTCTTCCAAACTGAAATTTAAGTTTAGTCCTCATCCCTCTTTTTCTAACAGAGTGTCTCCACATTTTCTTTCTTCTACTGAAATTAGAAGTAACCAGGTCCCATACTAGCTACATGCTTTTATTTGGGGCGTATGAATACACGTCACACCCTAATATAAACACAGGGCAAGTTATGTGGGAGAACTGAGTGTATGAAAAGACATTTTAAAGATAAAATGTTGGGGTACCCGGCTGGCTCAGTCAGTGGAGCGCATGACTTCTGATCTTGGGGTTGTGAGTTCGAGCCTCATATCTGGTTTAAAATAAAATGTTATGGGGGCGCCTGGGTGGCTCAGTGGGTTAAAGCCTCTGCCTTCGGCTCAGGTCATGATTCCAGGATCCTGGAATCGAGCCCCGCATCGGGCTCTCTGCTCGGCAGAGAGCCTGCTTCCTCCTCTCTCTCTCTCTCTTTCTCTCTCTGCTTCTATGCCTATTTGTGATCTCTGTCAAAATAAATCAATAAAATCTTTTAAAAAAATAAATAAAATGTTATGGATCATACATTCCAAGAATAAATGGTGTTCATAAATTGTTACAGCACTTCTAACAGGAGCGTCACGTTTTAACTTATTTTAGAACTCACCCATATTAATACACGAGCTTATTTTTTTCAGATTACACTACCTTTAAACCTAAGTCATCTCACGTATATCTTTAGCGCACTATTTGGCCACTGATCCCATTAAGGATTTGGCACTTGAAATAATTTGATGATATTGAAATGTACCCACATTGGGAGAAGGGCATCGAAGCTTTGACCACGAAGCACACTCAGGATCAGGCACTTCAAACGGTTGGATCGCACTGAAATACACCCACATCGCGCCATCGGCGTCGAAGCAATGCAGACCCTCCTCAAGAAAAAGAAACCACTGAGGAAGTCCCCCCGAGAGGCTGTCACTGGGAAAGCAACCTGTGGAGGCTGACGGTGCTTCCCAGCCTTACCTGACGTCGGTGCAGGTGATGCAGGTGATGTCTCGACTGTTTGTTGTGATCAGGTTCAAAGCTACTGACGTGTCCTTGTCGGAGGTCGGGTGTGCTCCACATTTAAAGAAAAATTCCTGCAAGAATGAGGACTCTGTGAGAAACCGAAGGCTTGGAGCCCAGCTGGCCCTTTCCCCCTCTCTACACGCTTTCCCAGCGACCAATCTCTCCAGGCAAGAGAGGAAATCTGTCAGGAGGTGTGGGTTAGACATGAGACCACGTCAGATCTTTGGAGGGAAGCTAATGCCCTCATTTCAAACTAGTCAGCAACCCCCTTTGTAGGGGGGTCCGAGTGTCTCTGCTCATCTTCCTTTGCTTTCAGCCCTGGAGCTGGGGAAAGGCCCTGCGCCCCCGGTTTGGCGGTGCCGTTCCGGGGTCGGTGAGTCCAGCAGCGGAGCACCACGTGAACGCAGCAGGGAGCCTGCAATGGCATCTCACAAATGAGGAAAGGGATACACGGAGCCATGAAATGATTCGCCCAAAGTCAATCAGAGGTGAAGGCCGGACGTAACCAGACTTTCTTTTTTTTTTTTTTTTAATATTTTATTTATTTGACAGAGAGAGAGAGAGAGAGCTCACAAGTAGGCAGAGACACAGGCAGAGAGAGGGAGGGGGAAAAAGGCTCCCCGCTGAGCAGAGAGCCCAATGCAGGGCTCGATCCCAGGACCCTGAGATCATGACCTGAGCAGAAGGCAGAGGCTTTAACCCACTGAGCCACCCAGGCGCCCCGTAACCAGACTTTCTAAGGGGAAACCCAGTGCTTTTTCCACGGCGCCGCTCACAGTCAGTCCGGACGCAGCAAGGATGCGACACGGAGTCAGGAACCGGGGACACTCCTGTAAATAAGCAGGTACCAACACGCAGACTTACACAGCGGCAGAGCGGGACTCTCCCCGCACGCTTCCTACACGCTTTCTGCCTCGGCACAGGGTCCCAGGATGCCCTGGGAGACCTGGACCCTGCCCCCCGCTAAGCAGCGGGGGATGCTCTGCACCTGAGCTTGTCTCCTTGATCAGCCTCGTCAGCCCTGTCCTGCACACGTGCTTTCCCTTTAGCTTTCCACGGAGGCCACATTCTTTTGGCTGCTTATATCCTCCCTTCTCAACCCAAATCTTCTTTTTATTTTTCATCTTCCCCTTGTTACTTCTTTGCGTTCACACACCCCTCTACCCTTTGTACACGGAGATGCTCAGAACTGTGACTGCTCTGTCTCTTGCCCGACCGACCTCACACCTTCCACGACGACCACGTCCACGAAGTGAGGTTCTCTGCTGCGGCCAGAATCTGACACAAGCGTATCGCTGGACAACGGAATGCGCACACCACACTTCCCCCATATGAGTGTAACTACTCGGAATATGGACAGTAGTTCCTCTTTAAGCACTAGACTCGCCCTCTAATTACAGCTCCAGATATTATTGCTTTCGGCTTTGTGGGACTTCGTGGATCCTTGTCGAGCTTCTCAATCCTCATTATAGCCTCAGGGTACCCACAGACAATATGCAGATGGACACCCAGGTCTGTGCTCCAATACAACTTGACCTATGAAAACATTTGGAAAATGGGATTTTGTCCATAAGCCATCATTGATGGTCCACCCCTGATCTAGACGCTTAAGGATTATGGAATCCCTTATTCATACCTGTATCTTAATAGTGCCCTGCAGAAAATGGGCATTAGATATACATTCTTTTAATGAAAAAATCAGTAGTTTTATTCAACAAATTCTACCATCATCCTTTTACACATCTGACAGCACTACCCTTCATTTATTCTTTCCCTACTTGAAACTAAACTAACCTCATTCGTCTCTGACCTGAGATACAGTGACTAACATCTGTGGCTCTCAAACACCAGGTGTACCAGACTCACTTGGCTGGGGGGCGGGGGCGGGTGTTACGCTTGATGTTGCTGGACCCCACACCAGAGTTTTCTAATTCAGTAGTGCCAAAGGGGGCCCATGATTTGCATTTCTACCACGCTGGCAGGTGGTGCTTTTACCACTGCTCTGGAAACCACACATTTGAGAACCATCGAGTTATACTGACATCGGTGGTAAAGGGAGTAAACCCTGCTTATTCTCTCCGAAGACGACAGCTGTAACGTACTTCGCTTATCGCATCTGCAAATGATGCCGCGTCTTGGGTAACAGGGGTTGCTCTCCAAACCTCTGAAGCGTGCCATTGTCCAGACAAATGTCCCAAAGCCATCTGTCTGGACCCCAGGCTGTTCTTATTTGCAAGGGTCCTACCAATCCCTGATGGTATACCTGCTAGTTAGCCAGAACCTACCCTACCCGGAGCAGGGGGCATACAAGTCGTCCTGCCTGCGGTCCCCAGCCCCAAAGATGCGGTGGTGACAACAGTCTCGCTTTGACAGATAGAGTGGCTGGTGCTTCTGTTTAGGTGTGTTCATAGTGTCATGTCTCTGAGCCCTGATCTCTCCCTGGAGTGGCATGGAAATCGTACTGATGGGTTTCTCCCCCCCACCCCCTTTTTTTTCTAAACAGGGAATGCTACCTTTAGAAATTTTACAAATCCTTCAAAGCCCAGTTCAAGGATGTTAAGAAAAAAATGTAGAGCAATTCCTGACTGCCAAAACAAAAAGCATGAGGACAGGAATGACCCTTACAAAATACACTGGGCTGGCTGCAACCGCTTTCTGTGACATGAAAGAAATCCCACTTGTAACACAAAGTAATTCCTCCAAAACAGCTGAGTCGGCGGGGCTACTGAGAAAGTATTTCATAAACAGATAAATAGATAGTATTTATATTTTTTCTTAGCTTGCAAAAAACTGCTGGTAGAGGCTCAGCTAACAAATCACAAACTGTTCTAACACCAGATAAAATCCAGCCAGATAAAAGCCACGGTCCTTTTTATTGGGGGGAAATGGATGCTTATAGATAATAGTATAAACGGTTATAGATATTCAGAAAATTCCAGTATTTCACATGAGCTGATAAAACTAAGATACAAATTATCAATTCTCTTATTAAATATAGATATCACACCAGTGAATTTCAACACTTTCTCCACCGGTTTTTAAGAAAGGAGGTTCTTCTGTAGTGCTAGAGGGATTGGCAAGACCGGGGGGAGGGTCTGGGACTTCACCCTGCTCGCAAGCTCACATGTTACTACGCCGCAGTGTCCCGGCTGCTGGCAGAAGACATGAGACTCCTGGGTCAGAGACAAAGGACTGCGTGATTTGGAGTTCAGGCAGAAAGAAGTATGGGCACGATGACCATGTCGGTTCCCCTGCTCCCCAACAACTATGGGATGAGGTGGATGAAAAGCTGGGTGCTACAAGTAAGTGGTTCTGAACTACCTACAGGTGAGGACCCCGAGCTTAGGGAGCCCAGATCTTTCAGAAGGAGCTGCAAGCAAACCATCCTTTTGTCCTGAAGGCTGATACTGCCTTTATTATACTGGATAATTAGCAGATCTCTCTATGACCTCCTTGAAAAGGTCATCCAGAACAAGAGGGTAGTAGGCGGCTCCCTCACAACGTGCAGAAATGCAAGAGAACCCTGGAGAACTATCTCCCTATATCAGTGACGCATTTTCTGACCAATCACGAGCGTGATCTGGTCATTTCCTTCCCTATGCCAACAGTGGGCTCAGATGTTGGTAGTCTTTTGATATTTCCATTCTGCATGCAAAATACACAGACAATAAAGCAAAGCAAAGGAGAAAAACCTTAAAAAAATTCTACCTTGAGAAGGGCATCTGTGACTCCTAGTGAAGGGAATCCTAGTCCCCTTAAATGTGGGTAAAGGAAGGTTCTCTAAGGGGCCCACCCCACCTTTTACAAATGCTAGCTTAAGATAAATCAGCTACAAAAATAGAGAGAGAAACCAAACCAAAACAAAACAAAAATAAGTCCTGTTAGATTAAATGAATTCTTCTACCCAGCCTGGAACTCTAGTTCCCATGGGGGGCTCATTTCAGTTGGCTCCACATAACTCAATTCTGGGAAGCCGTAATTAATTAGCTGTAGAGTTAGGAGGTATGGCAGTGATTGGCCAGTTTTCTTTTTTCCAATGATAGTATAAATTATTTAAAAAATGGACCCAGTATAAGACTTTGAAAATGAGCTTGGCTTTATACTGCAACCATGTTCAATGATATATGAGTGTTTTCCAGAATCCAGCAAAGTCATACTCTTTAAGTTCATAGAAATGTACTCACATTGTTACCATTTCTGTAGACAAGGCTATGATTCTTTCCTTCCACTCTCAGTGAGTTATATTCTATCATAACTCACCTGTCATTGCAGACTTTGGAGGCCTGACCCTCTAACCAAATCAGACCCATAAACACCAGAAGTATACACCAAGAGAAGACCCATGAACATCTCAGTTCAGCTGTTGGTGGCATCTCCAGAAGCCACCCTCTCCTCACTCTGCCCTGCCACCTGACTCCTGACTCAACGCCAATGTCTCTCACAAAGAAGGAAATAACAGTAACTATGGAAACAAATAAATAAGGCAGCAAAACCTGAAAACAGATTCATACCAAGAACCCAGTTGTACAGGAACTTACAGGACTGGAAGCTAATCAGTCAAGTCCAAACACAAATCAGTGTGTTCCAAATTTCTGCGGAAAGAGTTGACACCTACTGTCTGGAAAGTCTTGCATGTCCCAAGCACAAGATAGTTCTACAAACCTGAAAAAACAATGGTGAGACCCTTCTTTGTTCTTGAACATTCTAACAGCTTTCATTGAACCTCCCAAGGTTAATGATTTTTAGAGATACTGCTTAACCATAGTATGTTTTCCAAATAAAATACTGTGTGTCTTTTGAGTTCATCTAAATTTGAGTTGTATGTCTAAATTTGAGTTAATCTCCAAATCTTTCTTAGTTAATGTGCTCCAAGGAAAGTACATCTTTCTCTTGATAAAATAAAAGAATCACACAGTTTCCACTAGAAGACTGCAGTAAATCTGTGGTTTCTACTGAACCAGTAACTGGCCACGTGCATGGGTCAGAGTCAAGTTAGGGAAACAGGGCCCATGTCAGTAGACCAGCTGCAGGAATTTAATACTGAGATCTAGTTACCAAGCTGGTAGAAGCA